CTGTTGGTGCACTTGGTAGGCTTCATCGAAATCGATGGTCGAACACTGACTGACTACCACAAACACCGCTGTTCATCTTTCCTGCAAATTTGTTACCTTGGTCGCCACCAAATCGTCTGTTTATCCCTGTATATTAGTCTTGGCGTCTCAACAGTTAAAACGTTGCATTAAGGCCTACAGTTTGCAAACTATGTAGCACAACAACACACACGGTCCAGGGAAGAGGATTGCGCAGAGATAGAAAAAAGCGTCAAGCAGACGCCAGGTGAGGAAAAGGCTAGCACACACCTTCAGGGAGGAGGAACGGGAGGGGGGGGGAAGGGGGTTGGACAACGATGAAAAACGACTGGTCAAGCAGGCGTGCTTCCCTTGCCACCCCCATCAGCACAGGAAGGAAGAAAAAGCGGTGTTGCGCAAGCAGTTGCGACCGCCGGAATGGTCACTAGTTATGCTACGGTCGCGGATGGTATTTTTACGTAGGCTGTAGGCGCAAAACTGGCCGAAGTTAAAGACTTAAATTTTGCCACAAAGTTTTGTAGAGAGCTTGCAAGGTTTCGCAGCCTGTCAAGAGTTCACACATACACAGGGCTTTTGAGCCCAGATACACAACGCCAACGTCGGAAGAAAACTTTGCACTATCTCCAGAACCTCCCTAACAATGAGGGCTGGCTAACCGGCAAACAGTCGTAGTCGCGACGCAACAATTGCTGACCACCATAGAAGGGTTTCGGTGATAACTGAGGCAGGTTTTCACACGCCATTCATTTATTTATCTGACCTCTCGAACTCGTACAGAAGTCCATCGTCAGAGATAAAACGGCAAAAAAACAAGCAACCGATAAATGGGGTGGGAGCCAATCAACTCATTTAAATTCTGTTGAGCAGTCTGGGATACTAGCTTGCATCCCGTGCCTAAATTCTCCCTAAAATTACCCAGTTCAGACTGAACGCATGGTAGAATCACGCATACATGAACAGAAACTGGCCATAGAACGGGGCGACTAATTGTCACAAGTGGCTGCTCACACCTACCAACCGGGTCACTTGTTTAACTTCGCCGTCACGAGGATAATTGCCTACGCCAGGAGCAAGACAAGCGATTCACTGATTGAAGCCTGGGCGTCCGATGAGAACTCAAATAATTCAGGTATCAACCTGGAGCCGTGTGCAACCACCTCCAGACTGGCGTTACTGACGGTTGACTGACTGACTGGCCTGAAACGTTTGCTTGATTGGTTGGCTGCCGCCTTTATCTCTGACGATAGACTCCTGAGCGGGTTCGAAAGCTCGAGTGGGTAAAGAACGGGTTCTGGTGATCAACAACTTTCTTCTTGTCTTTGTCAATCACAAAACCAGAAAGACAACGCGGGGCAACTGAAAAAAACCCAACTAGAACAAGATAATTTATAGCTAATGAACCGTTGCGTTCTATTAAAAACGACTGCGGAATGCACGCACAATATGGGTAATACATGTGTACAAAAGAGACTGTGCTAAATAATAAAGCTGACAGACGACGACCCAAATTAAGCATATAATCAACGTTTCTGCCTGAAAGAGCGCCAATCAGAAGCGAAAAGGACCACTGCTGACCTAGAGGAAGGGCAGTTGTTGCTTGTGAGCATTAAGTGAGCCAATAGATAGATGGACTGATAGAGCCTCTGTTTAAATTCACTCTTCCCACGTCCATTGTACTTCGATGGTGAGACGAGATTAACGCGACCGTACATAGACGCTGGCGCACTACCTCACTTCGCATGAAAGCCTTTACCCACTCAGGTCACACGCGAGTTGGCCGCTCATTCTCATTCAAAAACGTCTTCATAATCCCTCCCAAAGAGGTTGTGATAGTTAGTCCACAGTAATCAGGAACCACTGAAAATTAACTATGCATGGGAGGATGAATCGACTTAGCTCCTTCAGCTAGCAGCTTTCATGCCACTGCCTAAGCGAAATTCAATAGTATAACACGTCATTGGTTGCTCATAATGGGCATCAAGTCGCGTCATCAGCTATTAATTCATGCGCTACTGTGCTCTTAAATTAAGTTAAACGCGCAAAAATTCGAGTAAGCTTAGTGCCAGTTATGCATCAAAAATGTATTTTACCACTGTGGGAATAGCACGAAGTAAAGTAATGCCACATTGGATGTGAAAGACTTGTGATCCAGAACGGAAAATAATTACTCTGGCGAACGCGATGCTACTTATTATGCCCAAGAGAAAATTAGGTACTAAAGTTCGCCGCAGACATGAGAGACCAACGCTAAATGAGAACGTTCCTTGGCAGAAAATAATATCCAATATTGGAACCGGCCATATCATTCTAAAGTCCGTCGGTGTGTTAGTCCGAATACTATTTTTATACATAAAAGAAACTAACGCTAAACTCAAAATATAGCCAAAATACAAGACATATTTGGTGAAGAAAATGATGCACTCATGAAAAGTTCTCACAGAATTTCCTTTCGGTAGAAATCTTCGATTGTTGGGTCATACTTCTCTTCGAACCGTCCACTGACAAATCGCGCAGTTAGTGCACTTTTCCCCACGCCACCACTGCCCAACACCACTACTTTGTACTCTCGCATTGTCCGTGGACGAAAACGGGAGCTCTGAAACGAAAGATGAAAAGTCTTTAGTCTACGCCGCAAAAGCCCTATAGCCACTCTCAACTTTTGTAGTTTTTCTTCTAAATACTAGGTACTGAAAAGAGACCAAAAACCCCAACAAAAATTTAAAAAAATTGGGTAACGACCCTTCTAAACGTGTGATTCAAATCAAGTAAATAAGCAAATTTTGCTTGTGCGCAAAAATAACTCTTGATGAATTCAGAATTTTATAAAGCTAATTATATCGACAGGGCTGGTAAAAGGCCTTAAAATTCACGACTGATAAATCAGACATCCTTGAATATATAAATTTTCGATTTCTACAGTATAAAGGAACCAGAAAACGAAATATCGAAGGAACGATCCAACAGATATGGGAGTATCAAGGGCCCGAAATCGTTTTATCACATTTGTCAATCATTGTGCGTTAAACGCTGTCCACTAAGTGTCACGGAGCTATGAGAAAGCATCTGTCGCAGCTGATACACCATGCTACAACTCAGCTAATAAAGTCCGAGGGGCAAGTAATCTCTCCAGAAAACGCGTAAATCGGAGCCAAAGCCAGCTGAATTTAAAAGAGCAGTCCTGATGTTATTTACAGACGACATGCGATATATTAACTGATCTGATGGACCGCATAGAAATCAACAAATTAGCAAACATTAGTTACGAAATGTCAAGCATGGAGAGGCATCGGTAAACAACGCGCGACTCAAGGGTACTGTCGTAATCAGAATAGATGGAACAGTGCAATTCAGTACGTATGACACAAACAGACGAGGCGTCAGACTTGGCTTTATTCATCTCAAAATTGGCGGATTAGCGCTGAAAAGGTGATACAGAACGGTCAGAGTAATCTAGGCAGTTAGTGAACGTTCGTCAGAGGCAGGAGTAGACGTTCGTCAACGAGGATCAGAGTAATGTTAGCATGACAGGCACCTCAAAATTACCGTCTCACAGGAGAAAAACTGAATGCTTGATCAGGCGACGAGCTATTCAGCTTTCAGTGGAGGCTGAATTAACGAAGCCTTTTTCTGCAGATGGCTGACTCCTCTTACTTCGGTGCATCGTTAAATGCAAGTGAATACTTTTTCTTAAAAAATAATTTGGGGATGGCTACATTACCTTGAACTCACGAACTAATTCTGAGCGATTCTATTCTTAGGTAATTGTGTATGTGAATACCCGCTATGCCTGATCTAGCTCACTGGTCATCTTCGACTTTGCAAGACGCGCAGCATTCTTCAAGGCTGCGAGGAAGAAGAAATTTCGAAACAATTGTTCCGTCATTTCGAGAAAATCATCGTACATACGAGCTCCTTCTGAAAAACGTAAACCAAAGTTGACCGCAAATATCACACACTTGAGCTGAGGGTAGACACATGGGTACAATAATTTAGACTATAGACGGTGTGCTCCGAACAAAAACAGAGGCATACATTAGTCTTATGGTTACTTAACATATTTGCTTTCCTCTTTAATCGTGAAGAAAAACCGAAATGACACTCGGTGTTTTGCGTAGTGCCTTCTGAAATCCTTAAAACGGCCAGACTTAAGAGAATACGAATGCAACTAAAAATGATTTACTATGTTCTAAGACTGGCTTTAATAAAAGTCTAATGACACCTCGGGAAAGCTAAAGTGGTGCCAGAGCAAGTAGTTCTGTTAGGTTTAATTTCTGCTTGGGAAGAGGATTTTGCGATAAAACAACTTGCACTAACTGAAAAAATATATTAATATAAACGTCGAAGTAGTTGTGTTCAATGGTGCGTGGCATCAATCGACAGCTAAGCGATTGCCTGTTGCTGGCGGTGGGGGGTGTGAGTTGTTCGGCGCGCTTCTTTCCTTACTATAATGAATCTGGTGCGCTTGAATCTATCCCGGTGCGCTAAAAGCCATGGCTTGGAGGGTTGCCAACTGGTGGATTAACTCGGACACCGCAGTCGGTCCAGTGTGTCTTGTTGTGTGTCGTGG